TTTTTTTTTTTTTTTTTGCAAAATAGTTCCAAGAGTTTTTCGTCTCAGGTATTGCTCAAGAAGTTGAGAAAGTTTTTGAGAAGTTATTTTGTTGTTTAGAGATGTGTTAACTTGTACTAGTTACGCTATATATTCCTTCAGCTTACCTGGTTTCTACGTCGTTCTTTTACAGTCTATGTTGAGTACTGTCTTAATACCGCATATTTCCTTCACAGCCGCTGTATTTTTGCTGCGTACCATAATGGAAGTTGGATGCTTTTGTACTGTATTCGGGATACTCAACAACTTCGAATTCAGCTAGTTAGTTACTCGATTCGATTTCTAGCTTCTTGATTCCCTTATTGAGGTTGATATGGGACGACTCTTGTGTTTGCTGCAGAACGGTGTCCGTGGAGAACTAGCGATTCTTGACCGAGATGTATATTCAGCTGAAGTTATTTTTTCCAGAAATGCACTTCTGATTTAATGTAGCCTTAGTCGGCACACATGTTATTCTCCACAACGCAGTTGCAATTTTGTAGCGCTCGGTTTCACACGGCCAGTTATGAAAAAAAATAAAGGCCGTCTTTATCTGGCGTAACTGTTTAAATCTTGTTCTGTAGCGCGACGGTGCAATTCAAGTTGAATTTATGCTGCGTACTATTTTGGTATTGTTATTATTTTAAAACTTTAAGTCATGCGCTTGAGATGAGCCCTAAGTTTCCAAGTTTAGGATGGACTTTCTTAGCTAAGTTTGGCAGAGACATCTGAAAAATTTAAAATACTGGTATGTCGACATTGTAGGTTACCTAGTAATGCACGCTTTTTTCAAGCGTTTTTCAATGATTGGGGTTTTGGGCGATTATTCATGAGGATTTCCGTTTGTCTGCTTATTCTACGCAGTGAAGTGTTCCGCAGTGTAGTGCATGCAGATCATTGTAGCTGTTAGGATTAGAATTTTTTGGCGGGTTTTGACCCCCATAAAGTAAGCATAAGGAATTTACAAGAGGTGTAGCGGATTTTGTTTAGGCCTTTTACTTCAGAGCTAAAACAGCAGCTTTTCAAGTTATTGTTATTAGGAAGCTTCTAGTTGCAGTTCTTGAATTTCGTGAATTAGTTGATGTGATGATTCACTCGGGCGAAATGTTTACTGCTCTCCTGACAGGTGGCAATCGTCAACTGGAATTTGTATTTGTATGGCAGAATTCTTGGATGTAATTCGTTTTAGATTTTGTGCTGTTAGGGAGAGGGGGAGAAAGGCTTCGGAGTTTTTACGGGAATGTGAAATTGTCGCAAATTTCTTCATTCTTTGGGGGAGGTGATGTACACTGTTGTTGATTTCTGATAATAAACTGTTGTCTTACCTTTGATGCAGCCATTCCGCAGATTTAAGAATATTACTTCTAATTACGAAGTAATGATTCGTTTGCGTCTGGGTAGGGAGACTGTTTGGGTGGCATTACTCGTAATTGAGATTGAATGACTGTGGGGAAGTTTGGTTGCGTGTGAACAGTCTATGGTTTTCAGTTTTCAGCGTGTGGTAGTAGCTCAGTTCTACGCATCATGCAGTGGGGGGGGAGGGGGGGACAAATTCGATAAAGATAAGGAAGTTTTGATTGATGCAGAAGAGGGCTCCAATTGCGTGTCTCTTTGTAACTGGTGGTAAAGTGTGTAGCATGCAACCGTTTTCTATTTTTGAAGTTAAGAGGAGTGTTTTACGTTTTTCAAGTTTCTTTTTGGGAAGTGCTTGATTGTCTACAATTGTTTGTTGAATTTTAGGCACCTTCTACTGTGCTTGTGAAGAGGTTTAGCTGGTGACGGAAATGATACGGAATCTCTAAATTTTACAGCTTAGTAGGTTGTGGTAATGTAACTTCATTTTTAAATGCACATTAGTTTTGTTTGAAGCTTGGTTATTGGTTCATCAGAAATATCTCACAGTTTATTTTTGCGCTTGACCTTTATTGACTTTCGATGTGGTAGTTGCGCTGTTGATATGCGTTGCGTGCTGGCAATTAGAGTTTCGCTGTGCACTGGCTGCCGTTATTTACAGTCTACTTGCGCCTGGTCTTTCTG